AGAGGCAGCCATAGCTGCCATAGCTGTAGTTAGTAGCGAGTGTGTGTTGTGTTCGAGTGTTAGAGTGATGCGTGTGGGATATCCAGGGTGATCCAGTGTATGTGAACAGTGAGATGTTTGGGCGCTGAAGTCGCCATAGCCATTTGAGAGTGAATTCGTATCTGAAGCCATATCTCTGAGTTTTGAGTGGGCGCATGTCGCCAGTGTGCTGTGTTACTGTTTACATGTGTGAAAAGTGTGTTTGAAAACGAGTCTGATTGCAGGACAGACTGAATCTCAACTTCTCAAGTCTTCCTTTGCTCCATCTTTCCTCCCTCTGTATCCCCTCCCCCCTTTTCTCTGTCTCTCTTTTACAGCGTGCAAGTGGGACGTTTTGGCATATGGGGGTGTAGGCAGCTGGTGCTGAGCTACATCAATGTGGCGTGCCTTGTACCCGGGGGCACAGTGAAAGGGAGAGCTGAAAGAAGATATGAAAGAGATACTGTCAAAAAGCCAAAAGGAAAAGAAATGAAAGAACTGCACAGAAAAAGGGAAAACAATCAGTGTGCCTCACGCTGTCCTGGTCGCTTTTCCTGTTGTTTTGCAAAGTGCACTCTTTTAGTCGATAGATACATGACAATGTATGACAATATGTCCAAATTTGCAACATGTTGTGGTGATTTGCATGCCAGGACCCAAAAGGCAAGAAGATGAAGAGACATGCCTCCCACATAACAGAGTAAGTTCTGGGGCTCTGCATCTGGCTAAGAGTGCGTGCCCTGTATGTGTGCCATCCATGTGGGTATAGCAATCTGGCAAAAAAACGGTGTCATTTTTCAGTAGTTCTTTTTATTAGTTTCGAGTTTCAAAACGAGTCGATGTCCTTTCTGTTTGTAGAATATCATAGGCATTGTGTGCGTGTCTGTTATTGCATCCTCCTGGCGTTCATTTGGAGAATCCGGAATTCCCACTCGTTCATGTAGCTATTCTGGAAGCAGAGGACAACATGTAAAAGATGAGGCAATTTGTTTAACTTACCCCATACTGAGAAAGGGTCGAGCTTACTGAAATGTTCAAATTCTACTCCTGAGGGGGTTGGGTTATTGGTATTCGTTGATTGAGTGATGACTTCACTATGCGACAAGCGCCGATTCAGTTGATATGTCTGTAGTATTCAGATGCAAAGGAAGGGTAAGCCTGCTACGATTTATCCACTTATAGGGACGGATATGCAATTTTGCAACTAACTGCTGGTTGTGCTGTGCGGCATGTTCGTACATTTGCAGCTGTGGGACGACGACCTTGTCAGCATCTGGGGTGTTGCTACTGGAGATGGATTTGCAGGCAATTATTGGTGGCAGAAGTGTGGTAGAAACAGCTACCTCGGGACCGTTTTCCGAGAGCATTGCTGACAGTGCAGCAGGGGAGAGTGTTTATGCTGGACTGGTGCTGACATCTGCATCGCTGATCGAGCCCTTCTTAAGTAAAGGACTTCCACAGGCCGAAGGTGTAAGTAACTGTGAATATGAAAAAGGGACGACGTAGGTGGCAGCGTCTCACAGAAAGAGGCCCAGGGCTCCACCCCTCCCCTACGCATAGGCACAATCACTGCAATGATGTAACAAGAGCACTGTGATTGTCATAACGCCCATTGACCCAATCTGCGCGAAGCCAGTATGATAACCATTCACTTTTTTCCTTTTTGGAAAAGAGAGAGAGAGAGAGAGAGAGAGAGAGAGAGAGAGAGAGAGAG